TGAGGAATAACGACAGCGGGCTGGTAGATCATAGATGGGTAGACACAGGTGGACCGAGGGAGGAGAGCGTGACTCTTGAGAGGCTTCCCCTGGGGTTTCAGTGCTTTGGCAGGCAGACAGGGTGACAACAGCTGTCAAGTCAGCTTCATGGTGGGTTATTTCACTTTGTGAATACTGGGTCTCTCCTGCTCCAGTTCTCTGGGACGTGCCTAACCCCTTTTTTGGAGGTGACTTTAACTCCTTTCAAGACCCAATCACCTTGCCCAGCCTTTGCTGGGCAATTACCCAAAAGGGGATGCGTGATTTTAGAGTTTGATTAGAAGTCTATTATTTGAAATTGTTTACTCTCTCTGCTCTTTGACCTTCACAACAATTTAAGACCTTTGAGCACACCGAGTCTGCTTTCTTTGCCTTCATGAAAGTACCTGACCAGATATTTGGAGTGGCCAAAGGGAATTTTTCCCTTAGCAGTTTGGAGTTCTTGGAGGGGGCTCATGGTTTTGCCTGGTTTCAATTTGGTTGCCTGACAGAGAATGAGCCTCCTGGTTATAACGTGACAACAGATGCAAAAGGGACATTGGTGGAAAACCTATAAAAACACAAAGTCTGCAAGTAAATTAACCCTACTACACTACTGCTAACTTCTTAGTTGTGATAAATATACTGTGGCTATTTAAGATTTTTAATGGTAGGGTAAGTTAGATGGAGAGTATATGAGAATTCTCTATACTTGCTTATAATCCTTGAAAATATTTAAAAATTCTTGTACTTTGGAAGCTGACAGTCTAATGGCATATAGACTTTCAGCCTTTTAGACATTTAAAAATGTTGCAACAACACTACATGTACAATCATTTATGAAGTGCTTTCATTATTGTCTTATTTCTTAATTCTGTGAGTAGATCTAAATTATTCCATTTTACAAATGAGGAAGTTAAGCAAGGTGGGGTGGGCAGAGAGAGAGATAGGTTACCCCAATAAACAGAGCTCTTTAGTGGCAGAGCTGGAGTTTGAGCCCAAATCATCTCACTCCAGGTCTGGGAACAGAAGGCAGACAGTGACAAATGCTGGAACAGAGACATCTGCACCAGGAAGAACAGACAGAGCGCTTGATTTGGAAAGAGTGGCTAGGAGTTTCTTGGGGACAGTGTCAGTTAGACTCAAGCTTAGAGTCTTGGACGATTTGACAGACTAATCCATTTCAGGCAGAAGGAACAGCATGAACGAACATGTCTGAGGGATGCCTGGAATGTAGGAAGCAGAGCCGTAGGGAAAGAAGTAATAGGAGCGGAAGCTAAAATGCCCGAGTTGGCGCTGCCTGGGTCTCAGGACTTTGTGGATAAGGTGTTGGGTTCTGTCTGTAAGGAGTAACAAGGTAATTGGATGACCTGTCCCCGCCACCTGCTCTCCATCCCTTCCTCCCTTTCTTCCATGTAGAAGAAGAGTAGATAGTAGATTCCAGATTTAGTCTGATATTGGTTCTAGGAAGCTGGATTTGTGGAATAGACCAGGGAGAGAGGAGATAGGAAGGTCACATTGGAGGCTGCTACGAAGCTGCTACCTTTAAGAAAACAGGATGGCTATTCCTCTGGCACAGCCCTTATTAGGGCTCTCATTAATACATACTCTCTTCCTCAATTGTCACCCATTCAGTCTGTCAAAATCATACCTGTTCTCCAAGTGCTATGACTTTGCTAGCTCCAAAGTCACTTCCTTTGAACTCTCATGGCTCTTTGGACCTTGAATTATTCTAGATAATGGTCTGAGTGCCTGGAGCCTAGTGGATACTCAATAATTATTAGCATCGCGCCATAGTGTTTGTTCCTTCTTTGTAGATTATAAAACTACCAGGAGTAAGACTCCATCATATTTATTTCTATAATCCCTTTCACTTTACCCTCCCACCCCACACAGAATATGTACCTAAATAATTGATGTTTGTTGATCAAAATGACGTCTCCTAGCTCATAATCAAGGACTCCAGATTACAGCGTCTGGCTGGCTGGCTGGCAGCCTTCCTGGGTTCAGCCTTCAACGGGGTCTCC